GACCACCACTTCAGAGACCTTTCTTGACCACTCCATCTAGGATAGTGCCCTCCCAACCATGCTCAGTCCCCTGACCCTACTTTTTTTCCTTTTTTTTTTGAGACAGGGTCTCACTCTGCCGCCCACATGTGCAGTGGCGCGATTCTGGCTCACTGCAACCTCTGCCTCTCAGGCTCAAGAGATTCTCCTGCCTTAGCCTCCCGAATAGCTGGGATTACAGGTGCACGCCACTACTGCCTGGCTAATTTTTGTATTTTTGGCAGAGACGGGGTTTCACCATGTTGGCCAGGCTGGTCTGAAACTGCTGACCTCAAGTGATCCATCCACCTCAGCCTCCCAAAGTGCTGGGATTACAGGCATGAGCCACCGTGCCCGGCCCCTTCTTGTTTTTCATTGCAGCAGCAGATCTGTGAGTGATGACTTCTGTGTTTATTATGCTTTCCTTCTGAAATAGAAGCTCTTGGATGACGAGGACTTCATTTTCCCCACTGCTGAATTTGAAGTGCTTGGCACATAGTAGGCCCTCAATAAATAGTTGCCGAATGAACCAATGAAAGCACAAATCTGGCTCCAACTAGATTCCACTCCTGCTCCTATCAAATCCTCTCCTGCTCTTGCAGGCAGTCCATCGGCCTCTGGTTGCCTTGTCCCTTCTCTCTGAATACCCTCGTGGCTCTGGGGTTCCCTTGCCTCCAGAGCCCAATCCTCCCTCTGTGAGTCCCCCACCCAGCCCCACCCCACTCCCTGGCCCACTCTTGTAGCTGTTTCTACCCACACTTGGCATTGTATGGATTCTGTGATCTTTGTATCTGCTCAGGAGCTCCACCCACAGGTCAGGGACCCTTCCAGCCAGCAGAAAACCCAGCCCAGAACCTTGTGGAGGTAGAGAGGAGAGCAGGATGGTGGTGTGGGTAAGGGCAAGGGGCCACGCTTCCAGGCCTGGACTGTGGGAACCACAACTTGGGCAAGTTAATTAACTTCTCTGTCCCTCAGTTTCCCTTGGCTGTAGTGAAGAAAATGGGATAATAACATAGGGATATTAACAGTCCATCCCTTAGAGGGACAACAGTGAAGAGTTCATACATGTAAAGTGCTAGAAAAATCATCTGGCCTGAGTTATGCACAATAGAAAGGTTAGCTGCTGTATTGGCTTCCTGGATCAAACGAAGTACCACAAACTGGATAGCTTAAAGCAACAGAAATGGAGTTCCCTTACAGCGGTGGAGGCTGGAAGTTTGAAATGCAGGTGTAGGCAGGGCTGGCTCCTTCTGAAGCCTCTGAGGGAGAATCTGTTCCATGGTGCTCTTGTAGCTTCCAGTGGTTTCCCACAATCCTTGGTGTCCTTTGACTTGTACAGGTGTCACTCCACTGTCTGCCTTTGTCGTTACGTGGCCTTCTCGTCTGTGTCGGTGTCCGTGCCTCTGTTTTCTCTTCTTATAAGAACACCAGTCATATTGAATAGGGCCCACCGTAATGACCTCATTTTAACCTGATTACATTTGCAAAGACCCTATTTCCAATTAAGGTCCCATTCATAGGTACAGGGGGTTAGGTCTTCAATATATCTTTTAGGAAACAAAGTTCAACCCACAACAACTATTCTGGAGCTGTCTGGTCACTGTGTGGACTGACTGGGGACCCAACACGTCTTTGCCTCCCACAGGTGCTGGAGCGCTGGAGCACGTGCCCTCAGACCATCGAGGTCCTGATGAACACCTACAGTGTTGTGCAGCTTCCCGAGGAGGCTGTGGGCCTGGTGCCTCCTGAAACTCTGCAGGTCAGATTCCAAGGCCCTGAACATAGAGCCTCTCATCCTGGCCCCAAGACTCCCACCTGCTAAACCACAGCCCCCCAGAGAAAGTATCCAAAGACGCACTCATGCCCCAGAAGAGAGAATTTGCAGAGTGAACACTCAAACTTTCATTGTTTCTAAGAGATTCCTTCCAGTAGATGCCCCACCCCTCCCTCACCTGCCTATCCTGTGAGGAGCCGGCACCACCTGTCTGAGGCTGCCCCTCACTGAGCCCCTTGTTCTGCCCCCAGAAACATCAGCGTTTCTACTCCTCCCTTTTCGCCTTGGTGAGGCAGCCCAGGTCGCTGCAGCATCTGAGCCGCTGTGCGCTCCGCTCCCACCTGGAGGGCAGCCTGCCCCACGCGCTGCCCCGCCTCCCCCTGCCACCGCGCCTGCTCCGCTACCTGCAGCTGGATTTTGAGGGCGTGCTCTACTAGGTGAGCCCTGGGATCTGTGAGCAGTAACAGCTGCTTGGGGTCCAGGGATGGGTGGAAGGCAAGAGAAGCATTGGGGAAGGCCTTGGCCAGAACCGGCCTGTCCCCGAACCACCAGAAGCCTCTGAATACAAACCTCTCCTTCCAGATGTCCATGGCCTTTTGAGAGGGCCTGAAAGCAGATGCCCCAGCCTGCAGAGGGCGCGCCTCTGCACTAACTCAGGCCAGGTAGCCTAGCAGCGGAGGCCCAGCTGCGCAGGCAGGTGTGGATGCTGCAATTCCCAATGCAGAGAAGCGGACTAACAGCCACAGCCAGATGATGTCTGATGAAGACACACTCCTGTTGGGGCTCTCCTGGGGCCCCCTTCTAGCCTGTGCAAACCCTGTATGTGCATTAAAAATCTTCAGGTCTGTTTTGGTACTGTCTCCAGCAGACCTTCCTCTGAACTTGCTCCCTTGCCGGGGAGTCGGGATGGGCGGACTGACAGGGGCTCCCTGCGTGCCCCATGGGGCCAGCTGCATCACCTTCCCCTTTGGCATCAGCCAGCTGCTAAGAGGTCTCAGGCTTGCCAGCTCCATGAAATGACAGAATGACCACCAGGTGACAACGCGTTAGAAAAGGCCTAAAGGAGGTGCAGGGTGCACATGGAGGCAGTGCAGAGAGTTGGGCAGGAAGGCACAGGAACCCTTGGGGTAGGAAGGTGAGGAGGCAGGAGAGCCATCTGGAAGGAGGGGCATGTAGGGTGGCCCATCGCAGAGGGTAGCCATGGCTCAGTTGAGAGCCAAAGGCCCAGGTTTAGAAAAACAGAACCAGTTCTGCCTATTGCCTGACACGGTAGGTCAGGGAGGACCAGAAGCACGCCTGGTTCCTGCCTCTTTTATCTGCTCCTTCCTTAAATTTAGCTCTGGCTGCAAGAGCGCCGAGTTGAAAGTTCCATGACCCAGGTTCTGGTCTTAACTTTGCCATTAACTTGTGGAACCTAAGTCTCTTACCTCTCCGGGCTCACGTTTCTGCCTCTGTAAAAAGAGAGGGAGGAGAGTCCCTGAGAGTCACTGTAGTATCAGGATTTTCAGAACCTGCCAGAGGCCCCCGCAGCCAGGAGCTACCTGCAACCACAGGCGGAGGGAAGGTGGTCGGGACAGGGCAGCCAATCAAGTGCACCGTGATCCCTGACGTCAAGGGTCGCTGGACAGAGTTCCCCCAGGCGGCAAAGTGCGCACGCGCTAGAGCTCGCAACTTTCCCGCCAACTGGCACGAGCTAGGCGGCGAAGGGCGGGGCCGGGAGGGCGAGAAGAGACAGGGGGTGGGGCCTAGAGGGCGCGAGGCGGCCGGGGGCGGGGCCTGGAGGGCGTGAGGCTTTAGGCCGCGCTGACCAGGGCCGGAAGCCCGGTTAGGCGTTGAGAGGCGGCTGAGGAGAAGCGCAGAGGAAGTGAGAGGGCCCGGATTCTCACCCTGGCCTCACGGACCTTGGGCTGACTGGTCTGTCTGGCTTCAGGTGCTGGGGCGCGGCTCGAGGACGCGGGTGCGGTGGGCAAGCGGTGGAGGCTCCTCGCTGTGGAAACCCCAGGCGGACCCCGACCACACAGACCCCACCTCGCGGGCAGGAAGCGGCTGCCCCAAGGCGTGCGCGGGAACCTGGTGCGCGAGGCCCACTCCTGTTGAGGGCCTGCGGGGCGCCCTGTGGAGACCGCGGCTCGGGTCTGTGTCCTGGGGGACGTCCTAGTGCTCGCTGGTTTGTTCCGTAGCCGTTCCAGGGCCTGCTGCGTTCAGGCGCCGCTGCACCGGGGGCAAGGCCTGCCCTCCAGGCCCCACCAGGGTCCGCGTGCGCGGGGTGGCCGGAGCGCGGCGCACAGGAAGAAGCGGCAGGTGCTGCCGAGCCCGGGACTGGGGTTGGCAGTGCGAACTATTTTAGATCGGGTGACAGGGAAACTTGCTCTCTGAGGAGGTGACATTTAGTCAGAGACCTGAGTAGAGCAGGTCAGCAGGAGTGGCAGGACCGACCGCCCTGGCTGCGGGCGTGGGTCGGGGGGCGCCTGCGGCGGTCCAGGTCAGAGGCAGTCGCGGCGGGCAAGATTCGGGATCCCTGGGGAGAACTGGGGGGCCGCTGCTGGGGGGATGTGCAGAAAAGCGCTGCCTAGGGGGACTCGCAGGTTTTTGCCTTGGACTCCTGGTCAGAAGGTGGTGCCAGATGCTAAGGTGGGGAAGACGAGAAAGGAACGGGAAGCAGAAGGCCGTTGTTGGGGAGATGGCACTGGAGCCGCCTAGGAACCATCTCAGAGGCTGTGGCCTGGGCACGGGGATCTGGGCCCAAGTCGAGCGCAGGTCTGGGCATCATGCGAGTGCGGGCTCGCTGGCGCGGGAAAGAGTTTGGAGCTCTGCTCCCAGGGAATCCCGACTCCCGGGGATGACTTGCCCGAGAGAGTCCTGCTGGTGGATTTTGATGGAAATTCTATTCGATTGCATCCACTTGGTTCACTGTGTGCTTCCGGGTCCCCACGTTTTAGGTGCTTCATGCCCCGCTGGGAACGAGACACGCTCCTGCCCTCAGTGAATCTTCAGTCTAGTGTGAGAAACAAGCGTGTGAACAACCAGTTAGAATACAGAGGGCAATAGGATGAATGCAAGATAAATGTGGGAGCAGGAGCTGGAGGCGTGAAGACGAGAGCGAGGAATGGGGTTGAGATCTGGGAGGGCGTCCCAGAAGAAGGACCCTCCTCTAAAGTGATAGGAAGACGGGGGAGGATTTCTGGCCACATCTGGAGAGCCTGCGATCATGGGACGCCTTTTCAAGGACGGGGAAGGGAAGAAAGGCGATGTGGAGTGGTGGCTATGAAGGGGCTGTGCACAACTTCACATACTGTCCCTTAGCGGGGCAATGTCAGGAGGGTCCTCACTGGGGTTAGACATTCAGATTCTTGCGAGCCAGGGCGCTTCCTCCCCAACCTCCTGGCTGTTGGTCCCGCGGGCCCAGAACCTCTCCCTGGTAATTGCTTTTCGTAATGTGCTTGCTCCAAACCAATTTCACGCCTCCGTGAGGACTCCGCCCTGCACTAGAGGCGCGGACCTCCCCACCACCCACCTACCCACGAGTGAACGCGCGAGCTCACACATACGGTACACATTTAACACAACAGACATACAGGGTTCGGGTACTGGGGCACACTAAACATACTTAACCCTACACTCACGCACACTAGACGTTAAGACACTCACGTACAACCCCCCTGCCCAAACAGTGCGTTCACAGTTAAGCACCTAGAGGCGTCCCGCGCGCTGGCCCTTGGAGGCTCAGTTAGTGGTTTCTTTGCCCTCGGCGCGTCTCCTGGACTATCGCCAGGGGGCGCTGCAGCACCCCGCACCTCCTTCGCTGTGCCCGCAGTTGTGCGCTGCTGCCACCAGAGGGTACCCGCGGCCAGACCCGACGCTGCCCACCATGAGAGGACTTTCTCTGGCCAATGAGTGGATTGGAGGTATAGATTTGTGGTCTTTGACTTGAATACTTTGTTTTTTCTCAGCATCCTTGGTGCTAGTTGGCAACACAAGTCAGGCCAGATGATGAGGCCGTGGTGGACACAGAGGGTAGATTAAAGATAAAATTCCTCTATAGGAGCATTTCCCAAATGTCAGAGAATATGGGCAAAGCAGTACTTTTAGAATTCTGTTTTGGACAATGAGACCAGGTACTTTCCCATAATGCGTCTGCTCAGGAATTCAGTGGGAAAACCACAGTTTTTTGCTGGTGAAGAAAGGAGCTAGCCCTGTTCAGATTTGACAGAGGCAAGGTCTGTACTTGGTACTGATGAGAGAGTAAGAAGTAGTTTTGGAGTGCTCTGGATTTCAGGGAAAATTAGTCCCTTCCTTTCTTGGCCACTCTACTCTTTGTCTATTTAGTGCAGGAAGAACTCATTTTGGAAGGTGTTTTTTCATATTCAGTTGACTCTTGCCCTTGCTTTTTGACTAGACAAAGTTTTTGTTGTTCTTTTTTTTTTTTGAGACGGAGTCTCACTCTGTCGCCCAGGCTGGAGTGCAGTGGCATGATCTCTGCTCACTGCAAGCTCCACCCTCTGGGTTCACGCCATTCTCCTGCCTCAGCCTCCCCAGTAGCTGGTACTACAGTTGCCCACCACCATGCCCAGCTAATTTTTTGCATATTTAGTAGAGATGGGGTTTCACCGTGTTAGTCAGGATGATCTGGATCTCCTTTGTGATCCACCCGCCTCGGCCTCCCAAAGTGCTGGGATTACAGGCATGAGCCACCGTGCCCGGCCCTTGTTGTTCTTATTTGTAAGACGGTCCTGCTCTGTCACCTAGGCTAGAGTGCAGTGGCACAATCTCTGCACACTGAAGCCTCAACCTCCCCAGCTCAAGTGATCCTCCCATCTCAGCCTCCTGAGTAGTTAGGACTACAGACATGTGCCACCATGCCTGGCCAATTTTTAAAATTTTTTTATAGAGACGGGGGTCTCACTATGTTGTCCAAGCTGGCCTTGAACTCCTGGTCTCAAGTGGTTCTCCCACCTGGGCCTCCCAAAGTGTCAGGATTACAGACATAAACCACTGTACCCAGCCAGAGTAGATATTAATCACTGTCCCTCACAGATGGAGATGTCAAAGAAGGGTCAAGGTCACAGGGCCCAGTGAGGGGTCAGAAAAGGAATTTGACTCCAGGTCTTTTTACTTTAGCCAGTGCTTCTTTCCATTTACCATGTGGCCTCAGTTCTATGTTCTATGAAAGGGCAGGGAAAGGAAATGGGTTGCTGCAGTTGCCACTATGTATGCCAATGTTACTGAATGTCAAGGACTTCACAGAAGTCACACTTCGTATCTCCAGCATGGCAAGGGAATACATCGAGGATATAAATGGGTTATGAAATACAGTATCTAACAAACACAAACCACACCAGGTCAATAGAAGTACTTGAGGTCTCACTTGCCTCTGTTCAGAATTGGTGGCCCACCGGGATTTGTTGGCACTAAGTTTTAAGTATGTACTTCCTGGCCAGGCCCAGTGACTCTTGCCTATAATCCCAGCACTTTGGGAGGCTGAGGCAGGCGAATCACGAGGTCAGGAGTTCGAGACCAGCCTGGCCAACATGGTGAAACCCCGTCTCTACTAAAAATACAAAACTTAGCTGGGCATGGTGGTGGGCACCTGTAATCAGAGCTACTTGGGAGGCTGAGGCAAGAGAATCGCTTGAATCCGGAAGGCGGAGGTTGCAGTGAGCCAAGATCATGCCATTGCACTCCAGCCTGGGCAACAGAGCAAGATTCCATCTCAAAAAAAAAAAAAAGTATGAACTTCCTGTGCCAGCTTGAGTAGAGAATCCACTTTACTGAGTATAGTTCTAAGCAATAAGCTCTTGGCATGAACTAGGTGACATATATCTTGAAGATCATAGGGTTATTTTATTTATTTATTTTTTGAGATGGAATTTCCCCCTTGTTGCCCAGGCTAGAGTGCAGTGGTGTGATCTCGGCTCACTGCAACCTCCACCTCCCAGGTTCAAGCGATTCTCCTGCCTCAGCCTCCCAAGTAGCTGGGATTACAGGCATGCACCACTATGCCCAGCGGATTTTGTATTTTTAGTAGAGATGGAGTTTCACTATGTTGGCCAGGCTAATCTCGAACTCCTGACCTCAGGTGATCCACCCACCTCGGCCTCCCAAAGTGCTGGGGTTACAGGCATGAACCACCGTGCCCAGCCCAGAGGGTCTTTAAAACATTTTTTAGAGGTCTCCCTCTGTCACCCAATCTGGAGTACATGGTGCAATTATGACTCACTCTAACCTCCAACTCTTGGGCTCAAGCAATCCTCCTGCCTCTGCCTCCCAAGTAGCTGGAGCTACAAGTGTGTGCCACCATGATTGGCTAATACAATCAGAGGGTCTTTTAACCTTGAGTCCTTGACATACCAGAATGTGACAGGCTTCTTAAAGTGTCCTTTTATTGAAGGGACTGGTAGAAGAGTGATGTTTCAATATATATCCTTTTGAGCTTTTGGAATTTGGTACTATGTGATTTTATTACCTATGCAATAAATGAATGCAATTACTTTTAAAAATGGCTCTTCCTTCATGCCTTACTTGGCTGATCCTGTAACTGCTCATACAGGTTTAATTTCAGTTTTGTAGCCCAAAGTTGCCTCAATAATTTGTCGTCAATAAGCCTCTGTTATATATCCACCACTGATAAGCCCTCTCACTTTAAAAATACAATATACTTTTGAAGCTTGGTCTTCCATGTTGGTCTGGCAAAGTGCTTGGTTAATTTAGCAAAGGGGTGTTCCGAAGAGCATCTTTAGACATGTCCTTTAGTAGTGAGTTGGAGTTAAGCTAAGGCACTTCTTCTTTCTCCATTGCAACATCTTACCACCAGACTTGTTTCTTAGAAATTGCACTGGTTAAATGTGGAGCCCAAGGTAGATCAAGACTGCGTGGAAATGAGATTCTTCTCTGTTCATCTCTCTGATGAATTGTCAGTTAAGGCATAACCAAAAAAATCCTTTCTTGAGTCCTGCCCCCCTCCTCAGTCCACCCTGGTGACAGTGTCTTTGAAGGTACTGATTTAAATACATCAGCCTGACATTAACAGTGTTCACTAGGCTAACACAACACTCCTAATTTGGAACAAATGTCACTGAGACCCAGAGTTCCCTCCTGCCCTGCTCTGTCTTGGCCGGGCAATCCTGGAATTTGTGTAGGTTTTTGTCCTCCCTGGAGCCAAATCACTTCCCCTATCTAGACTGCATCTTCCTAAACTTGCCTGGCTTTGCTGTTATTAATTTTAATATTAATTTTAACCAGCTTGGCTCTACCTAGCCTTACCTGAATAACAATTTCCTTGTGACCAGATGACACTCACTGTAGCTGGCCAGCCTTGCCCTGTGTCCTGAAGCTTGGGTCACTCTTCTGTTGACTTGCCTGTCTTGTCTCTTTCTTGCCCACTAACCTGAGGTGGCTATCAAGTCAAAGTGTCTGTGACTTTTGCCTCTAGATTGACAACTCTACCGCTGGGAATTGGGAGGAGGAGGAGGACGGTAAAAGGCGCCACCATTTCTGTGTCTCAGAAGGGGGGAGGTGAGAGTCATCTGCAATTAGCGGATAATTAGCGCTACTGACCCTTGGGGCTCATCAGCGCTCCTGGGGCCAGCCCCCAGCAATCAGCCAGGGCAGGTCGGGAGTGTCAGGCCCAGGAATGAATAGGGCTCATCAGCGGCGCTGGAGCTGGGGAGCCAATCAGGGAAAATTAATAGCAGAAGAGAGGGAGAGAGAGCGAGGGAGGGAGACAAGAGATAGACAGACAGACAAGAGATACAGATAAAGGAGAGAAATGAGAAAAATCGAGTAACAGAGACTGGGATAAGGAGTAAGAGATGGGAAAGAAATAATCAGAGAGGAATAGGAATAGAAACGAGGACGGGAAAGGGTAGAGGAGTGGGAGGAAGAAAAAGAATGTAAAGGATGGGAGAAAGATGGAGGGAAAAGGTCAGAGGAATGGTAAGTACTTGGCATAGTGTGGGCACTCAAGGAAATTACCCAGAGGCAAGAGAAAGGGACTAGGGGAAGTTGGAGATGGAGGAGGAGGAGGGAATGAGGAAGAAGGTGAAGAGCCAATGCCAAGAGAATAGAGACCAGAGGCCAGAGTGCCAATGGGGCAGACAGGAGGAAAGGGGCCCCATAAGAGTAGCGCTAAGCCATAGCACCGGGCGGGCGCAGCGCGCCCCCTGTCGGCCCCGCCTGCTCTCTGC